ATATTATCCGATAGGAATATAGGATTGAGATAAGACATGTAAAAATCGATCTTATGTATAAATTTGGCGTGATCGTCATCTGCTTTACGGCAAGCAGTTGGCGACCACGTCACACAAAGCCTCCAATATCGAAAACCTTAGCTTTCCTGATTAACATAGTTATACCTAATTAATATAGTAGAGCCTAATTAATATGCATAACTACTGGTTAATACGTATCATTATACTGCGTATTAATAAGTATTAAGTAGGAAACATAGCCAAGTGCGCACTAAATGCTGAAAGTTGGATCTTGAGTCTTGCATTGTCATGCTTCGTTGGGTTAGTCAATTTCTTGTACAGAAGCTGAAAGTGAAAACGAACCATCACTAACACTTGACGGTAGACTCCCGTGAACTGTAACGGGGGAGGGCGTCAAAAATTGCCTTGTTGCGGTTGAGCCAAAGCGTACGCAGAATGACACAGCGGACAACATTGAAGAGTCGAAGAGGCGTGTGAAAGCCATAAGAAGCTTGTTGGGCTGCTGAGACAGTTACTTTGTAAAGGAAGAGGACTTGGGGCCAACCAAACGCAAAATCAAATAGGCGTGAAAACGGTGAAAGAAACAGGTGCCATAAACTTTGTGCCGTAGGGCAGTCCCAAAAGAGATGGTACGGAGTTTTCAAAATGGTGCAACCATGAACACACTTCGTGTCTTCAGTGTGCCAACGATACTTATATCGGAAAGCTAGTCCATTGTGTTGTAGACGAAATAAGAATTCGGAATAAACAGGAAGTATGTCACGTTGGGGAAATCGCTCAAGCGACCACAGGGAAGGAGTGACGACCACATCCGAAGTTGAAAGCTGAAAAAGCGGTAAGGGAGGTGGGTCGTGTTCCAGCAAAACGCGCTTAATAATCGTGTTAGAGGCATAAACGATGTTGAGACCGTCGAATGTCCAGACATGTAGCGCGCAAACCAGTGCCTCCGGTAGGAGTGGAAAAATCGTCAAGTTCTGATAGTGTAATGGTACTTCTAGTCTTGGGGCAAGTTTTTGAACTACTGAAGTCATGGAGCGTCCAGGCGTGATAGAAGAGCAAGCGAGGGACTCCCTGAGTGTTATTTCATCCGGAATCCAGCCAAAAACTGAACGAAAAGTTGAGATTCGCAAGACACCTTGACGGCTGAGATAGTTGCACGCCTTGCGATATAGTTGCGCTGATGAACGGTTGGCTTTCGTGAAAAGGAGAAATACATTATTCTAAATTGGCCACGTAAGCTTGGTCAGAACCGGGTTCAAACACTGGAGCTTGATGATGATTTTGGAGCTCCATATAGCAATAGCAGCCTTCCAATATGTGGGAATGGCATTCCAACGTGAGGTTGATGCCAGGTAAGAGAGCGGAATATAAGAAAATCCAAACCGGAGCCTTGATCATTAAACGCATCATCAATCGCAGTTTGAGCTGGGATAAACCATTTAGGCAGAGTCGAGTAGTTTAGACGGGCTTGACGAATTAGCTGACGTATGAGGTTTACGTGAAGTAGCTCCACCGAGGTAGCAACGGTGGGAAAGTCAAGTCCGCCTGCCAAAACCCCGACTGGGTGCCATGAGCTTGGAAAGTGGCTGCGTATCGCAGGGTCGGACACAGATGTTGAGTGTGTGCAGTTCACGAAGTTCCGCATAAGCGGGTTGAACTTGAGGAGCTCTTGTTTCGACACAGAGACTGTTCCCCAAAAGTGCCAAAGAGTGGACGAAACCATGGTCTTTAAAATTAACACTCTCCCTGAAAGGGTGCGTGCGCGCCATCTCCTAGTGATACAGCGTTTCTGAAAGCGGACGAGAAGTTGGTTAAGCTGGTATTGCGGGGTAATGCTTGGTCCAACGGCAGTACCGAGAAGCGTTGTATGTTCTCCATTCCCCAGAACTCGTACGCCTAACTCGTGAAGTTGGTTTTGGAGTTCGAAGTCCGCGGGTGTCCATGGTCTAAATGGAAAAATTACTGTCTTGTCCGCGTTGAGCCGCATACCAGTCGCAGTGCAGAAGTCGTGAACTCGGCGTAAAAATTGGGGAGTATGGGGAAGGTTATTAACCAAACCAGTGACATCGTCGGCAAGGCTGAGGATATGGTGGTACGTGGTGCAAATTTTGATGGCTGAGTTGGCACAAGTAGCCCGTAAATAACAGAGTAGTGGCTCAATAAAGAGCACGAATAACCCTGGGGATAATGGGTCGCTTTGACGTACACCGGCACCTGAGCCGAAGAAGTCCGAGCGCGAGGAGTTAATCAACACTTAAACGAGGATACCGTGAAGAAATCTCTTAACCCAATGTCGAAAATTGCATCCAAAACCCCAGTGAAAAAGAACTTGATCTAAGGCATGCCAATTGACACTATCGAAAACTTTGGCGAAGTCGAGGCAAATAGCTTCGACAGGAGCTCTCGAACTGGTGTGCCGGCAGTGGTCTGATAAATCGTGGAAATAGCGAAGAGCATGCCGGATGTCACGTCCAGGCACGAATCCAAATTGGTCTTCGTTCAGTAAACTGGGTAGAACTTTATTGAGACGAAAGGCTAATGCCTTTGGCCCGAACTTAGCGTCTTGATTCAGCAAAGTCAAGGGTCAGTAATTCTTGGAGTCCAAGCGAGAGCCTTTCTTAAAGAAAAGAGATATATATGCGCGGCGTTGAAAATTGGTCATGCGGCCCTTCCGGAATTGGGCGGCGTAAACCAGCTCCAAGATCTGAGCCCATTGGGTGGGAAAGAGCTGGTAGTATTCTGCTGAAAGTCCATCAGGACCCGGTGACTTCCCTTTGGCGGTATGCTTGATAGCAAAGAAGAAATCATTGGCCGTAAGCGGTGCATCGAGCATATCGGCTTGGGCAGGTTTGAGCTTCCGATGGCTGTGTCTGAGTATATCTTGAAGCTTAGTAGAGTCGAAGTGCTGAGGTTCGACCTGGAGATCGCGAGCATCCGATTGGAAGATCGTGCCCCAACATCGACGGTGGGTCGACAAGATGGTAGCGGGGTCCTTTGACAAACCCAAGGGCGTATCGACTGACGAAATCGATAGCTTTAGTTCCGTCGCAGTGGGAGCCCGGAAAAAGTGTTTGGAAGAGTTCTCACCGGAGGTGGCATCTGAATCAAATTTTGAAACAGTGTTCCGTTCACGAATTGCGGTAAGGAAATCCAAATAGGCTTGTCAAGAGATGTCCCTTTGAACTAGGGTCCAGCGCAAAGCGTTTTTCACAGTCACGAGAGGCAGCGAGTAGAAGCCGAATCTAAGCGGCTGTAGCTTCTTTCCGTCGTAGGCATTCTCGACGAAGAAAAATTCGATCCCGTCGTTTGTGTTCGTCTAACAAGCAACCTGGGTTCTGTTTGGGTCGAGTGTGGCAGCCAAACGGTTGAGGTTGACGAAAAGCTGATCTTGTATTCGTTCGCAACGCAGTAACTAGGGCGGGCACTTGACAGGTAACGACTTATCCATTGGTATGGCGTCAGATGCAGCAGTGAACTCGACTGGAGTGTGATCTGCATTACCAAATGTCTTGTCCCGTAAAAG